AAGTTCGACATTCCAACCACCTGAAGAAGGCCGGAGTGTACAACGGCCACAACGTTGTAATAAATATGGTGACAAAAATGAGGACAATAGTCCGAATAATTTAAATAGTGTATATAATACCTAAGCTCAGAAATATAGACGGATACTGAGATTTTCTTATAACCCGTCTTAAACGTTTGACGTAGTATATTAAGCCCAGTTGATCTTCTTAAAACTCATTTCCACATCGTTTGAGGCAGGTCGAGTTTTGCCTTCAATGGCTTGCGAGATTTGAACGTTATCTGCTCTGCGACAATAAGTCCTCTCGTTCTAATGAGATGGTTCCAGCACCTGCAGCGGTTAAGTAATCCAAATAATAAACAAATAAATAAATAAAATTAACAAGAAGACATACGATGAACTGTGCAGAAATGATTGAATTTGGGCGCGAAAGAGAGAGTCAGCCTCTAGGAAAGCAGAACAGGAAGTAATTGCTTACTAATAACATTTGGCTAGAGCGGGTCAGATCTCAGCAGACAGAGTTTACATGAACTTACCGTTCATGTCCTGAAGCTCCCAACAGAGGCTGACATCACTCAAGTCGCAATTAACCCTTAAAAGTTGCCCATCTGATAGTTTCAAGTTATAGAGTATTTTTTTAGCATAATTCATCCAACATAGAGGCTAAGAGCCACTCAAGGTAGAGGGTGAGTGAATTATGTGTTTGATATGAAATTTAAGTGATTAAAAGGGAGGAAATGAAGATTAAGTGGAGGATAGAAAACGATTGATCCTAGACTTGAAGAGGTTATGATTATAGTGTTCGCAAACACATTCACGCAGGAATAAGTTCTACAAAATAACGGTTATTGGAGAGACGCTTACTGTGTGAAACACCGTTGGTATCAATGGAATATGTAGTCAATGAGGATGTTTCAGCTCTGTGGACGTAGAAAGGCAAGTCTTAGTTGTAAACGTCTCAGCTGTTGGAAATAAAGTTTGAAGCGCATCTGAATATATGCCATAGAAATAGCGATAGGCTTGACACGTTTCATCTGTTGGAAAAAGAATTCATCACTCACAGGTCCGCGTAACCGATTTGGAACTCTGCCAAGACTGGAAACTGAGGATTAAGGAAGTGTATATATATATTTTTTTGACAATGTATCTTTTAAAGGAGTGCAATTCTGGGTTTAATCAAAGAGAGGATTATAACTTGACATAGAAGCATGTCTTTTGTAATCATTTCGCCCAAAACAAGGCAATAAAACCACTAAGACACATCGTGTTACTGAGTATAAGAAATAAGAAAAAGAAAAAAACATTATTAAGGAGCGCAAACAATAAAAGATGAATCAAAAAAGACAGTAGACAACGATTGGCACCGCATTTAAACTTTTGAAGATCAAAATTGGCTGGAAAGCATGAAACTGGGAGAGAGTTCCACAGGGGAGAAGTGAGCAGAAACGGTTAACAAGGAACTTACGGTTAGATCTATCCAATTCAACTGAAAATGATGAGACCTTCTTGCCAATCTCCTAATACGTTTAAATTCATAAACTTTAGCTTCCATAGAAGAAAGTTAATCAAAAGAATACTATGTATAATACTGTTTCGTCGGAATTAAAAAAAAAACCCTCTCTGCTCTGCATAGCGATGTAGTGATGGTTCTAATATGTGAGCTGTAGATCTTAAAAACAGCAATCATAATATATTTGACAAGCCTCGCCCTGGAAGACGACCAATTCTAAAGGAGGAGCTTTTTAAAAGTGGTTATTTAATTGGATCCACTTTAAACCACTAATGATTTGGCGCAAAATCCTAATTTGCCATGTTAAACTGTCCAAGAACATCCCAATTGAATTATGAAAAATTGCAATGAGGGCATTTGGGTTTAATTTAAGCTTTCGCAGATGAACCGTACGCAATCTTTCACCATCTTCAACAACCATTTAATCAGGAATGCCAATCGTTTAGTATTACAACGCATGGGCTTTGTTTGTGGTTATGACAAACTAAAAAAAACTAAAGAAAAAGAAACACTTCTAAAAGCAAAATCTAAGACGTTATTCACAGAAATTTTTGCTTTGTGCTTGATGGAATGTAAAAGGTGTTGTTCTTTACGAACAAATGAAACTTAGAAGGACCATCACTGAAGAAGTGTATTGCCAGAAACTTGATTAGATAAACGAAACATTACACTAAGAATGTCCTTCTTTTATAAACAGAAAACCTATTATTTTCCATCATATAAATGAAAATGTAGACTCTTAAAAAAATAAAATAAATGAGAAAACAAGAAAAAATGAGATCCTTAACATGGGATATTTCCACCACCACCCCCTCCCATATCCTCCATACTCATCTCACTTTGCGTCTACAGATTTCCATTTTTTTTCTATCACTAGAACTTTTATGAAAGAGCATTCAGAAACAAAGAAGTTGAAAATAGTCTGTCAAACAATTTTCGAGGAAAAAATATCGTCTAAAATGGACAAACGCGCCCGCAATCAGACGTCGTGTCAAACGGACGGTTTTTTTTCCCATGACACAGCTCTTTTTTTTTAACTACCTTCACTCTTCTTATATACGTTTTTTTAAAAAGCGATGAATAGAATTGTGATAAAAACTTAACATATGATGACAGTGAATTTGTACATCTTTTTCTGTTCTTGAGAATTTACGACAAAAACATTAAAATATTTATTTATTGGATCGTTTTTTACAAGAATAATTTCATATTTACAACATTCTAAAAAAATAAACTAATACGATTAAAACTAATAAAATGTAATAATTATCCTTTACCAATATACAAAGAATAAATTGGAAAACAATTTTTACTCATAAATTTATAAACATTTACTAAATTATTAAAACATGTGAATCAATGATAAGTAAATCCTTATTTACCATTTTATAAAGTTTGATTCAATTGGAAATTGGCTGATGTTTTCAAACAATTGCAATAAATAATATCATAAATAAATAGTGTAAAAACGATCTATTAAATAAATAGTGTATTTTTTGTCAATTCTCAAGAACAAAGAAAATGTATAAATTCTCTTTCATATGCTTAGTTTTATTAAAATTCTAATCATCGGCTTTTAAAACAATAAACATTTCTGAGGGAGTGAAAGTAGTTAACATAACAGCGGTGTCAATGCAAAAACCGTCCTTTTGACATTTCGTTTTATTCAGGATACGTTTTTTTCCTGTTTGCCAAAAACTCTTTAAATGTGGAATCCTGAATTTGTCTGCTTGCTCGGCTGCAATCTTTGAAAAGAAATATAATTACATTTTTATCTGTGATATTTAATTAAATTTAACTTTTATACGTTCATATATCTCCTTTTGATAAAACGTAATTAATTTCCGAACTCCCTAATTCATACGGGTGTCCGGGTAGCGTAAGGTTTATCGGCACTGATAGCGCAATCAGCGAGTCGAATTCAAAATCTGTCTTTTGCAGACACCCCTTTAGGAAAAAAATGAATCTATTTCTTTTCCTACGAGTTTGGAATTAAATCGTAGGGTAGTTTCAAATTTCTAGGATTGTGTCGCAGAGATTACATTGAAAATCATCCTTCGGAATTCTAAATTTTTACCCGAGTCGAAAAACAGGACTAATGAGAAGGTAGGAAGACTGTATAGTGCCATGTTTTTATTTCTCTGCTTTGGTTAAATACCAACGAAATTTCATCAGTCTTTATCAATTAATTTTTTCCAAAAATACAAAAATCACAATTAGAAATCTTCATATTAATGGTCAACGGACTTTGGCATTGAGAAATTGGCAATGAAAAGGAAATTAAAATAGCCAGGACACCATTAAAAAATACAGTAGGGAATGAAAATTTTAAGTACATGGGTATTTGGGAGTCATATACCAACAATCAGAATGAGCCGAAGGAAAAAAAATGAGAAAAAGCAAAGAATACCTCAGAAGAAAATTTATTAGAGATCGAATTCTACAGCAGAATCATAAACAAATGAATATATAGGTTGTTGTCGTTGTGAGTTACTGCGTACACTTTTTAAACCGGACAAGAAAAGTACTCAGAAACTTCGATAGAGATTAATAATTTCAGGGAGCAAAAAACTATGCACGTAAAGCCCTGTTGGCAAGTTATATGTTAAAAGAAAAAGAATGCATCAATTATTGCCTCAAATCAAACGATGCGAAAAAAGCATAAGACAGGTTATAGAAAGGCCATCTAAAACAGTTTAAAGCTGTATTAAAACGAATAGAAATCCAACAAAGACAAAAATGAAAGTTCAAAAATGGGGAAAAAAGGACAATCATAATTGATTCTTCAGACAGCAAATCGCGTAAATAACAACAAAATCGACACGGACGTAATTACGCATGCGTGCAAGGAAATATATAAAGACAGATCTGAGTCGCTCTTGATAAGCGCTCGAAATGATTCCATGAAATATCAATTATATAAAAAAGTAAGTCAAGTTTAAATGTAGACTAGGCGGAAGGCAAGATGAAACAACCAGGAATATAACACGTAAATGTAACAAATTAAAGAAGACAACGGTCCTGATTAGCAATTCACTAGGAACAGTGCAAAACGTTTTGTCCATAGAGAACGATGTTATATACGGATATCATAATCTTTTTTAAAGAAGGAAACACGTAAACTGCGAGTTTAAGATTCAAACGAATCACCCAACCCCAAAATCCTGATATGATCTGCGTAAAAAACCAAAAAAAAAAAAACAAGAAGAAATAGAAAAAAGAAAAGGAAAAAAAAAGATTGATTGATTTTTAAGGCATATCAATCCATTGCAGGATTTTTAAAGCCAGAAAATATTTTCAAATAATATTTTTTTTTTTGAGATAATAATGGTTTAGTGATGCAAGTCTTACTAATTGATCTATAGTTTGTTGGGTGAAGACTTACCCGTAAGTGAATGTAACGAGCATAACGAGAACAGGAACTCAGCTCTCCGATACACAATTCCGAGCCATTATCCGCTACACCGCCCGCAAATCCAAGCTTAGAAACCCTGATATTCCCAAGCGGTCATCCATCTAAGTACTGACCTGACCTGGCGTTACTTAAGTTCGATGATCATATGGGAATAGGTGTTTCAACGTGATTTGGCCGTAGATCGATTCATTTTTTTTCCTTGCTCTTCTTCTCGTTGTTTTTAATATATCTGTAGATATTGTATATTGAGGTGTAATTTTGAAATGTTCGTTTTTAAAAGGCATAATAGAATTCGCTAACCTCTGTACTATGAAAATTGTTCCAGCCCCGGAAGCAAAATTTCGTCTGTATCGAATTACTAAAATTCCGAAAGAAATCTCTCATTCTAAAAAAGAAAAGAAAATAAGCTAAGTGTTGATTTAAGCTTACAGTGATTTATCGTTATCTGATAACTAACACGTATACATAAAAAAAAATGTTCGTCTAAAATGTATTCTCAGACGGTGACTCATATAGATCTTGATCAGGCTCGATGTTGCTTAACCGGTGTGTCAACATGAGCCATAAGTCTAAAAAAAAAGTTTCAGATAGTAGATTTTATTTTATCTAGTAGAATAAGCAGAACTGAAAAAGAAAATATAGCTAAATATCTCGACTTTACGAAGTAATTTAGTTGACAGTGGTGCCCGTCGTTATTTGAGCACTGGATAACAATCCTGAATAACCGAGGACTGATTTTTCTTTTATTACGACCGATCAACCGCTTGTGGATTATTTAAAGCCGAGACATTTTCGAGTCGTATGTAGGTGCTTACATTATTCAGTGTTCAGAAGCGCTCCTTCCATCTAACTTCTAAGCGGGGTATATATGGTTTAACTTCGGTGAAGAGACTGGGAAGACGGCTGGAATAACTTGAAACCAACCAGAATACTAAGAGGACCGCAAGGATAATGAGGCCACATCGAAGTGATTAGTGCTAACATGTACATGATTTGTCTTGGTGAATGAAGATGAGGCTACCATAAATATCCCAGATACATAACTTTAATTACTCGGAATTGTGCCCTAGGAAATGACGAACTGTGCATTTCTGTTCAGCAGAAACAACCTCCTGGACGACAAACTGTATGGATTTCAATCAGCAGTGGGATGGGTTACAAAATGTTATCAATGCTTTGAAAACAGATATTTTAGAAGTATATCTAAATACATATAAAAATATTAAACAATGGGGCGAGTGAGCAAAGATAAGAAAAACAAAATTACTGACCGTAAAAGTGGTGAATCCAAAACATATATCAACAAAAAGATTTTAAAAAAAAGTTAACCATTAATCAATCCTCGCTCTTCAGAGCCAATCGAGGACAAATGTAGATGAACAACGCCTAAAGAAAGAAGAAGAATTATGTATAAATTACAGACTGATTATGCTTCATAGGTGCTGGGTTGAAACGTAATCTGTCCGATTCCATGTTTTTTTTTTCTCCTTTTTGTCGTTGTACATATAGTTTTGTCCTCTATTTACTCCGAAGAGCGAGGATTGGTAACCTGTTACACATTTTCGTTATTTTCTTGTTATATTTTTTTCAATCTAGCACTTTATCAGTGAGTAATATTATCTTATCTTTTCCTTTCTGTCCACTTGTTTTATATTTTCTTATATCTATGTAATAAATGCGAATGTCAATGTGTCACTGTATCACACTTTTTCACTTAAAAGGTTCATCTTCCTGTATATAACAAATTATCGAATTATCGTTCAAAAGGTAAGCTTAAATATTAATGCAACACTTAAAAACAGCAATCAATTTCGAGTTCTTCTGTAGTTTATTGTTGCCTATCGCATCTACTCCTCTCTACTAATTGTGATAAAGGCTCAATCAAGTGCCCACCACTGCAGTATATATATATATATATATATATATATATATGTGTGTGTGTGTGTGTGTGTGTGTGACATTATGTCTGGTTATTTTTTTTTAAAAGTCCGTTGATACTCACGAATAACCTTCCGTGTATTGATATTAAAGAAGGAGAGCAATTTGCAAGAGCTGTTTAAACGTCTTTTATTTTTATTTCCCAAGTACTTTCGATCTTTTTCCAAGATCACCTTCAGGGGTGCAAGTAATACAAAACTATATGTTGTTCATTAATATAAGTATTTATACAAAGTTGTGCGTTGTTACACATTACCGTAATTTTTTCATTATAATTTTAAACGCAAAACATTTGACAAGGTGCTGAGCGTTCATTAGAACGTGAAAAATTATCCATGATGGAATTTTTTCTCTCTATGTTATAATGTCACGGGCGCGTGCGCATTAAAGCGTGAAAAACTGTTCCTTTACAGGCATTTCAGAATATTACTGCAGTATTAGTAGTTGATTCTGTTCAGTGCCGGCTTTAATTTTTTAATATAAATTGCTTCTAGTATCTGTAATCTAAATTTGTTCTTTTCATGGTATAGGATAGTTGTGTTGTCGATTGTTATTTTTTTTATATTGTGAATGCAGACGTGAATGCTGTTGTAGATGTCTCGCAATGGACGAATGGTCAGACGTGTAATGTAAACCTTCTTGTTAGTGTATTTGTCATATAGCCAAACACACACACACACACACACACACACACACACATATATATATATATATGAAAATGTTAACTTTTAAAGGATTCGTATGGATTTCGCTCCTCTAAGTCCACTTCTTTGACTTAATTATCATTAGACATAGAAACTTCCGATGCTTAGCTATGATTAATTAATGATGAACGTCATTTTCGTTTATGATCGATTTCATCACGATTCTTCTGTTAAGCTTGGAGAGTAATTATACATTCTTATTGCTTAAAGTGGGTCCAGTAGTTTTATAAAAACCTCGGAGGATTCCAGTAAGATATCTTTAATCACTTTTAAGATATAACGGTTCATATCTTAATCTAACAAATGGACAATTTCGCTTTTGCACGATGTGGACAATTTTGCTGTTAGACTCGTATTTCTGAGGATAAGTAAAAAAATATCTCCAAGCTATAACATGTTTTTGGGTTTGTCACATTGCCTTCTTCTCATGCTTGCTTATAGCCAGTATTATTGTGGTTACGTGATCGAAGTTTGATTTTGATTGCGCCAGGGTTTTACATGCTGTTACAGTATAAACATGGCCGCTACGCTAGCAGTGTGCACGAACGAGGAAGAAGAATCAGTGATTCGAATCTGCAGAGAATATACTACCTCAACGATGATAATTCGCCGGTTTGTCATTGCCATCTCTCGAGATTGAGGATTCTCCTCATCAGTAGAGGAGATTGACTAGCATCCTACTCTTTCAGCGTGCGTCAGGCTTGTCCGGCCACCTTTTAATTTCTCGATCCACTCATGCACTTCTATACCGTAGTGTCCTGCCTCCGTATTGTGTTAAAAGCCTGCAATTAGTTTTACCCCGGACACACATACTGAGCAGAGAAATCGGATCACTGCACTTTGTTACTCCTTGGTGCACACTGCTAGCGGAGCGGACATGTTTACACTGTCACAGCGACAAAAAGAAAACTGCCACGATCAAGCTCAAACTTCGATCACGTGACCACAAGAGCACCTATAGATACGCATGACCAGAAGTTAGTGTGACAGATATATTAAGGCGAAAGTGCCGATAAATTTTTATTACCCTCCTATATATACAAGGTAATTCAAAAATTAGACACAATTTCGGCATTATATATATATATCCTCTCAGAAATATAGACAGATACTGAAGTTTATTATTAATTTTTTGTCTTTACTTATATTACTGATGAATTAAATTCTGTGCCCAGAAAATGGTGAGTCTTTGCTTGTAATAAAAGTTCCTCTGAGCACAGATAATTAACCGTATTACTAAAGACATTAGGTTTATAATACCCATAAATTCATACACAGATTTCCTTAAAGACACATGGCACAGTGGATGAAGGCGTTGATTAGATCCAGTGACAGGACCCAAAGTGTTGAGAGTTCAAGGACTTGGACAGGTGAATTAACTGGAGATAACTGATAACTGACATCCATTAGACAACTAAAACAGTCTAACCCAGTGAGTGAAATAAAGGGTTTAGTTCGACATTCCAACCACCTGAAGAAGGCCGGAGCGTACAACAGCTTAAACGTTGTGATAAATATGGCAACAAAGATGAGGACATTAGTCTGAATAATGTAAATAGTGTACATAATACCTCATCAGAAATATTAGACAGTTCCTAGCTGCAGTTGTTTGCACATATCTCCGTTAATATCTCTAGTCCCATGCCCATATTTTGCACGCCCTTAGGATTTATCCTTATCATTTAAACTTAACAAAATTTCTCCCTGATAATGTGTTTATATAATGGCAGAAAATTACTTCTATATGCCATCAATTTCAGAGTTTAATAAAAGAGAGGATTATAACTTGAAAAAGCAACATTATTTTTTAAATCATTTCATTGAGTGTGAAAAAATGAGAAGACATATCAACATTATTAAGGAACTAGAACAATAGAAGAGCAATCAGGAAGAGATTAGATTACGATTGACATTGTATTTAGATTTTGAAGATCAAATTTGGCTGGAAAACATGGAGTCGGAAGATAGTTCCACAAGGAAGAAGTGCAAGAAAACTTTTAGCATAGAACTTACAGTGACATCTAGCCAATTCAATTGTAAAATGATGAGACTTGTTACTCATCTAGTACTGCAATTAAATTCACATAGTACGTCTAGTCGCTTTTTATCTTATGGCGTTGCCTTATTGTTTGATTGTCCGTTTGTTCTTTAACCCTGTCCCGAGTCTATAATTGTTTACTGAGAAATGACTATTACAGTGGAACCTCGGTTCATGAATTTAATTCGTTCCTGAAGGTCGTTCATAAACCGAAATGTTTGTAAACTGAAACTATGTTTCCAGTAGTAGAGGAAAAAAGTCCCACTACAATAAAATTGGAAAAGAAAAGCACGCCATAACACATGAATATATACAACATGGCGGCCGACTCTGAAATGACTCCGTTCGGGTTAACTCGGTTCGGCAATGTTGTTCGAGAACCGAAATTTTGTTCGAAAACAGAGGCATTTTCATCTCAAATTTACTGTTCGAAAACCGATTTGTTCGACATGTGAGACGTTCGAAAACCGAGGCTCCTCTGTATGGCTGTAATATAGTT